GAAATTTTATGCATAAAATTAATGCTTTCATCACGCAAGCTAATCGCTTAATCACACCATGAAACAAAAAAGACGGTTATTCCTTAATTGACATCTTAAAACAAATAGTGATATACTTTTAAATTTAATCGTATGTTTACTCTTTACTGAGAAAAGTAACAAATGTATTAAGTATCAAATACTACAATTTTAGTGCTACTGGAGATTCTAAAAAGACATTGAGAACACAATCAAAGAATGGCTAAGGTATGCCAAGGACAGGGATTGGGGAGGAAGAAACGGACAGAGAAGAAAAGAAAAGGGGAGGAGGAGACTCGGGAGAGAGAAGAGGAGACTTAGGAGAGGGATCAAATGGAAAGTGGCAGTGCCTAACTTTTTTCTGTTAAGTACTGTGACATACCTGTAGTTCTAACCTTTTCTGTGTCTGTTTGTCGGTAACAAACACGATGCAGATGACAGAAACACTTTTTGTGTAAGTAAACAAAATGGCGGGATTCATTTTAGTATTATTTTAAGAACAGGAGGGCTTTGTTTAATTTTTTAGACGTGCTTATTGATACCTGCAATTTACTGAACTTGTGCATAAATTTACATCAGAGAGGGAGTATACAGTCATGTAACCCTATATGTATCGCTTCAAGTGAGCATCAATTTTTTTTATCTTTATTTTAAAATGTTTTCTTCATGCAGTGAGCAATAAAATACTAGTATGTTATAATTTAATTTTATATTTTGATTTCTTTTCCTCATTTTTAAAAAATTAATGTAGAGCTACTGACAATGCAATACTTGTTGATGTAATTTTATGAGATATTGTGAATATGTATATTGTGAATATGTATTAAACTATTAATCTAGCATATATAGTATTAAAGGGCTTCTACCATTAAACTGTACTACGAAGCCAGTATAACCTTATTATATATAGTTTGTTATTCACTTTTGAGGACAAATGGCCAACCAGTGAAGAGCAAATGAGTTGTCCTGATGGAGAGCCAATAAGATACAAACCAACGTTGGCCCAAAAATGATGTTTGCCTAATATTGAAAGAATAAGTGGCCCAACAATGGCTCAATAATATCCGTTCGTTGGTCCAACAATAAGTCAACAAGTTGGTTTGATTGAGGGCCGATGAGCAAATTACTGTTGGTCCAATATTAATTGCTTACAATGGCCCAACTGTACAAAAATGACGTTTGCCCAATATTGAAAGAATACCTTGGCCCAACAGTGGACCAATATTAACTGTTACATTGGCCCAACAATAAGCCAACAAGTTGGTTTGATGAAGGGCCGATGAGCAAATTACCGATTGCCCAATGTTGAATGCATACGGTGGCCCAACATAAGGAGCATTGTTGGCCCAACAAAGGTCCAATAACATCATGGGATAGAATAATTGATAATCAATGAAATGCAGTACGAGTATGCACTATTTGAATTGCAGGTAACAAAAAGGGATATTTCTTAAATTTGGATGAAAATAATTTGTTCTCAAACCTGGCTGAATTGTTATTGGAGTGAAGCAGTCCTCTATCGTGTCATTCAAATTGTTTGTAGGGAGACAATGATAAACAAGATTTCCAGTATTGTTACAGATTGTTCTTGATCTTTGTGTCCAAGATGTTTCATTCTCCGGACATTCCATGCCACTAATGTGTGGTAACATCTGTAAGAGCAAATTGAAAATAAAATCTTCAACATATAGCAAATCACCTTATCCTATAGATGTGTCCTTACTGTTAAACAAGGTAGGTTTTATTCTACTTCCTATTTTTATTTATTTATTTTAAAGAAGTATGTTTGTTTTGCCTCATGGGATATGGTATATATATCTTGTTTTAAACTTCTTTTTTATTCATTGCAAAATGATCAATAGTAATAGCAGTGCAGCAGTAATAGTCTTTGGAACAATTCTTGATTTATAACGCACTTCTTTACCTTTCAGTCTTCAACAGCAAATACTAGTACATGATGCATGAGAAAAACGCTTATACCAAGATCAAGGAGGTAATAAATTAAATTTTAGCTTTCATAGATTTATTTTAATGTTTAAAATGCATTGTCACAGTGGCATGAAATCAATGACAAATAATTAAGAATAACAAACTATGATCCCTTGCTCATAATGATGAATTGTAGGGATATATTTTTTGGAACCGCAGTAGCAATAAGGTAATTGATATTCTGAACTTCTTAATAAACCACTAATTTAATAATAAATATGTATTTACAAGTAAGGTAGCATTCCACGTAACGTTCATTTATGATTTTTAATAGCATTTAATGAACTCTACATCAACTTAAATGTCTGTATTTTGTTATGATTCTACATACTCAGACAGTGGAAACACTTGTTTTGTAAGTTTGATTTTCTTTCTCTATATGTCATGATTTATACCTATCCAACTCAATCTGTTCATAAAATTTTCGTTTAATATTATTTTATTTTTTGCTATGAAAATAATATTTATTTATTATGTTTGTAAGATGTACATGATTGGAGATACTTATAGCTATAACCTTGAATAACCTTTGACAGTTGTCAAATTTTGTGAACTTTCATTTACTGAATTTTTATACAGTATTATCTTTCTGACATATCTTCATTAGCGAAAAAACATCTGCATTTTGCCTGTACCTTCAAAATGTAGATGTTTTGGAAATAATTGAAAATAAGCTAGAAAGAGACTATATATAGTAAGGCATGCAAACTACAAATCAACATGATCAAGCTATAACAAATACTTTCTATATTTGTTATAGCTTGATCATGTTGATTTGTAGTTTGCATGCCTTACTATATACATTTCCAAATATATATTTTCTTAATTATATTCTTTGCAGATTAGAAAACAGCTCAGTTAATTTAAAATAAATCTACCAGGACAACAAGGACTCCATGAATTATAACACACTTCTGTAACAGGTGCAAATCAACTGTTTTGTTTCAAGAATTATCAGTGATTAAGACGAATTTGTGTCAAGTCACCAGACATTCACAAATATAACAAATATATGACATGAATTTCATTTTTGAAAATTGAAAATGAGTTTCAAGAACTACAACTCTTCACACATATGAATATACCGCGCTTCATGAAATAATTCGGAGTGAAGTGTTGTATAATTCAGGTTCTCGTGAATTCTCAAATCTTAAGAGACTATCTTAGAATACTGAATACATACCAGTGAAAATAAGTACACAAAATTTAACATTTTAGATAAAATATTAGGTTTTTTGTCTATGTTGTATCTATTTTTAACCGCATTTGCTAAAGCTAAAAAGAGAAATTAGGGGTATAGATCCCCATGTTGTTTGAAAAATACTGTAAAACACATACTAGTCATATTAAGATGCAAATAACAGGTAATAAAATTGAAATCTGCAGGTATGATCATGAATTTTCATAAGATACATCTTTTTTGTCACAAGACATATCTTGGAATTTAAGATAAGCCTTGACATGTAAAACTAAAGCAAACTATGAATATCTTAAATTTAGTTTGAAAGTTCCATCCTATGCATTTTTTGAAAAACAAACATCACTTGTACTTAGTTTGTATTTGCAATTCCATAATGTGAGCTAAAATATTTAAATAATTCAAAACCGCGATTAAAAAAAATCTTTTTGAAAGTGATCTGATTTAAATTAATTGATAAGAATTCCACGTACCGGTAGACAATACATGACATAGACACAGTTATACAGAACTCTCCATTTACTTTCGTAATGTCTAATTCATTTTGAACCGCCCTTCTTAACAATATTAATTTTAAGTACGTAAATATAGACCCTTAATTACGATAGCCTTATAGATCTAACTTATTACTTAGAAAATAGGAGGGAGAGAGGTGTAAGTGTATGGTGTTTTCTGTTGAACCTAGAGAAAAGCTATAAAATCGTAGGCATGTAAAATTATCAGACCGAGGAGGATTGAGCTGTCATTTTAGAAAATAATTTATTGCTGTTGCTCGTTCAAAGTATTCTTTCTCCCTCGCTCTCAATTTTGAAAAAAAAATCCTACTTCGTACTTTTATCATTTTTGAACGATTTAACTCCTATCAATTCAATTTTCCCCCATATCCCAGTCTAAAGTCCTTATGTCCAAAACAGTTGTTCATATCTACAAACCAACCAACTGTATCCATCTCCATGGTGGAGTAATTAATTAAGTGTTACTTTTAAAAAAATACAGTGTTTCAATTCATAGGTTACAGATAATGTAATTCTTAGGTACGATAACATACAGCGCTGTATGCATAGCATACGCGTTTTGAGGGAACCTAACTTAAACTGCTTGATTTCTTCCTTCAAACAATATTTATTTATTGTTAATAAAATATGGACAAGTCCCTGACTGTTTTTTTCCTCAGAAATGTTATGCACCCAGAAAGATCACATATAAGTGCTAAATAATAACATTATATTTATCATGTGACGCTTGTCACAATCTACTTGTCTATATTACAGTATTTTGAGCTTTGGGGGGTTTAGCCAGTACATGTATTTTCTTTCCACTCGAAGCTCCTCGGATGATACCTAGTATCCAAGGCCTTCCGAGTGCAATTTGTAAATGCAACTTAGACAAGTTCGGTTTGCTTCTAATTAACTTATTTCACTATCATATCATAAGTTGCTACTTAAGTACAACTCAATTTTCATGATAATATTTTTTCTCCAAGTCCAAAAAGCACTTTTTGTTCGTGCTTAGAGCTTCCTTAATGTTATGCTCGCACAAGTGTTTTGGAAATTTGGAACTCTTTTGTAGAATGAGGTAATCTTACTATCGGCCACGCAGCAGCGGCCGATCTGGGAATGAGAGCACCAAATCCCCGAATGAACACATGGCTTTGTTTGTGGAACATTAAACAGAACACTGAATGGGTGGGCGTTATGTCATTGGCTAAAATCAGGTATTTAATTGTTTTCATTACGGGACCATATATTTTTTTCAGTATTTTTTGTTAGGGCTTAGTTTGAAATGATGCTAAGGATTTTTCTGAAATTGTCATAGTAAAGTACTGAGAGGGCCAAAGGTTTGTATGGAGTTCTATGGGAAAATAATAAGTGGACTTTTCCCTTAAGGATATCCGATCCTCAGTCATAAACTATAACTCTTTAATTTATAATTTAATTAGAAAGTCTTAAAATAAAGCTTGAAATTTAATTTTTTTCATGCAAAAATTTTCATTTTATGCCTCTATGTATGATTCAATGTTCTTTAAAGTTTTGACAAACAGTATTTTAAAAGTTGACATTTGTACCTCATAAAACTAAGTAAAACTTGCATATTAAAAAAAATCAAAGTTCTTTTAATTTAGCCTTAGTTACCAAAGTTTATAAGCATGGTTTGAAATTAGAAGTGATTTACGGTGTTTTCTCCAGTCAAAGCGCCCCCTAATAAAACCGTCCCGGTCAAAGCGTCCCCTGATTTTGGTCAAAGTGTCCCCTGATTTTGGTCAAAATGTCCCCTGACATGCCAAGAAAACCTTAGCATTCTCTCCATATAGCAAACTCAATAAAAGCCGAATTAACGTTAATCTGTGATTCTTCCCCGGGGAGATGTGCGCCAAGCAATTAATGTCAGCAGGTTTGAGGGAGGGATCTTAAAATTTACTGGGTTTAAATTATAGGTAGAATACTAATTATTTAGAAGATTTGCCCCCCCCCCTGTCTTTTTTTTTGGGGGGGGGGGGGCGGGAGTCAAAAATAGGGAAGGAAATTAATTATAGTAAAGTAATTCTTTAAAAAAAAATAAGCTGTCTTTCATTTTTTTTACGTAATTCAATTTCAAAATATTTTTTCTTAGTACAAATTGGCATCTGGTAGTTGTGGAAGTACCGCGTCGAAATATAGATAAAAGGGTACCAAATTCCCGGACGCTTACATCATTTCCTGGTTGAACAAGATGGAGACGAGTACTGAATGGGTAGACGTTACCCGATTGGCTATGTAAACAATTTTCATTTAAAAGTGAATATTTTAATTTCTGTTGATTTTTTTTCTTATTTTCTTCAATCCAACTTTTTAAAATATAAATTTTGGTACCAGTGCCTCTGACATTTTACGTATTTTGTAAATAAATAAAGATTTTTGACAGGAACTATTTAGGGCATAAGGGACTACTTCCTGGGGAAGACGTTTATTTTTTCTGTAACTAAGAAAGTTAAGAACCTAGGATCCACCCCCAGAAGTCTGCTGCCGTAAATTGTCTTGCCGGCGTTTTGGGAATATGGGTGATTTGCATCAATTACACTTTTATTGACTCCATCGCTGTCGAAATCGAACGAGATTTCTTGGCATGATTTTGGTCAAAGCGCCCCTTATAGAATTTTACAGTGAAATGATGTTACAAAACCGCCCCCAAGTATTGGTCAAAAACGCCCCCAAATATTGGTCAAAGCGTCCCCTGATTTTGGTCAAAACGCCCCCTTACATTTTTTTCTTAGAAAATATCGTCTTGGAACCGTCCCCAAGCAATGGTCAAAACGCCCCGATTTTGGTCAAAGCGTCCCCTGATTTTGGTCAAGGCGCCCCCTAATATATTTTTACAAACATGTACGGAATAAAGCAATGGTCAAAACGTCCCCGATTTTGGTCAAAGCATCCCCTGATTTTGGTCAAGGCGCCCCCTAATATATTTTTACAAACATGTTACGGAATAAAACTGTTTTGTATTTATAATATTATCATTGTTTTGCAGTTACCCGAAAAAATTCTATAAGGGGGCGCTTTGACCAAATCAGGGGACATTTTGACCATTTTTTGGGGATCGACTCGGAACGTTTTTTTTCCTGTAAAAATATATTAGGGGGCGCTTTGACTAAAATCAGGGGACGCTTTGACCAAAATTTGGGGGCGGTATTTTTTTCTATGAAAATATGTTAGGGGACGCTTTGACCAAAATCATGGGGCGCTTTGACTAAAATTAGGGGACGCTTTGACCGGGACGTTTTTATTATGGGGCGCTTTGACTGGCTCCCCTGCCTTTTCAATTGCTCAATGCCTGATTTTCAGAACTTGAGGATTAGATAACCTTAATTTCCCATAGAACTCTATACAAACCTTACGCCCTCCAAGTAATTTACTAATTCCCTTTCAAACAAATCTCTGATATCATATGAAAGTTCGTTCTTAGCACTTATTAAAAACACGGAAAAAATATACCGTGCCGCAGCGTTTATAGGTCAAATTTGCAGTTATTTAGAACTTACAGCGATCGGCAGTAAATGACACCCTGCCAAAAATATTAATCTCCACTCTTACAACCTCCCATGGTATTTCTATATTTTCTGTAGTATTCCCACATTCCATCATTTAATCCAAACCTTAATATTTTTACTTTAAAATGAAAATATTTACATACCTGAATTCAGCCAATCAGGTAAAGCCTACCCATTTATTACTCTGCTTCATCTTGGTTCAACCAGGAAATGATGTAAAAATCTGGGTCTTTGGTGCTCTTTTCCTATACTTACATATTTACCTATCCCAGAATTAGTCAATTTTGTAATTTTCAAAGACCTTATACTTTAATACTGATATACATGTATGAAATTTGAGGCCTGTCACTTCAGTGTCTTGGAATCTGTGACCATCTTAATGAAGGGCCCCTCCCTGCTGCAAGTACTGTTCTAAAGAGTGAAAAACTTTCATTCCTGTGATGAAATCTGGATACAGTTGTCAATGTAATGGGTAAAATATTTATAAAATAATATGATTTTGTTTTTTGATGTTAATAAAATGATATAAAGTCATAATTGTATCACTTTTTTCATAGGGTTGGATTCTACCCAGAATAAGGAAAAATGCTCCAAAATTTGATAAATCATAGCTAATTAAGCATAATTGAAAGGTTTTGAAAAGACTGATATAGAAAATTTTTTATGCTTATGCAAAGTAAAGTGTTTAAAACTCTGCTGTACTAAATAATTCTTATCTAACCCTGCCTACAACAGGCATTTTTCCTTATTCTGGGTAGAATCCACCCCTATGAAAAAAGTGATACAATTATGACTTTATATCATTTTATTGTCCTGTCTGAATTAATTGTAAACAAATATAATAGGGAGCACCTGCTATTTCTCTAAGTGTCTTTCACTGGGGGTGGGGAAACTTTTTTGTATGCTGCCTATAGCAGGTGCCCCCTATTATATTTGTTTACAATTAATTCAGACAGGACAAGAGTTTGACCCACATTTAAAAACTTTAACCACGGTCATAACATTTGAACAGTTAGAAACAGGGCTTTATTATTTCACAAGTATATTCCTTGTAACAAAACCTTCCTTTGGGCACTAACACTTTTGACCTTGAAAAGTGTTGGTACCCAAAGAAAGGTTTTGTTACAAGGAATACACCTGTGAAATAATAAACCCCTACTAGTTCTTACTGTTGTTTTGACAAAGGTTTAAGTATCTTTAAAGTGGGTCAAACTCTTAGGTCAAGGTCAAAAGGTAAAAAATATTTATACTAGCGTAAAGGTCTTGTCACAATAAATACACATGTAAAGTATGAAATCCCTACCTCCAACTGATCAAAAGTTATGACCAAGGTTGAAATGTGGTATTTTTTGTAAAAGTAGATCAAACTTCAAGGTGAAGGTCAAGAGGTGTTACCCAAAGAAAGCTTTTGTCACATGGAATATACCTATGAAATATAAAAGCCATAGCCCCACCCACTCAATAGTTATAAGCTAGTTTATAGTTGACTACAGACAGACAGAATGACAGACAGATAAATTGGATAAAAACAATATATCCCCGGGATCTTTCGGTCCTGGGGGCATAAAAATCAATATGTCCATTAATTTCTTTGCTATTCATAATAGTCTGTATATAATATTCCTATGTTAAAATTTCACCGTCAATTGTGGTCCCACCGTAACCCGTTAGCCATGATTTGAATTAATTCAAATTTGACCCGAGGATATATTTTGTAATTAATACAATTTTAAGAATCAAAGATTTGTTTTTTTTCAGAAAAAACACATCCTACACATCCATAGTACATAACTTACCAATTGTCCCATTCTAATTCGAGAGGTAAACTAGAATCTAAGCTATGTAATGAAACTTTCATAATTATGTTTCATCTTATTCTTGAGAAGATTTTTAAAAGATTGCCAGAAAATTTTCACCAATTCTTTTTTATCTCGATCCTCTTTATAGAGGATACGGAATTTCACCGTTTTGCTGAGTTGTGTTTCTTTAGAAGTCGAAAATTTGAAGACGAAGCGAAAGATAAATAACAGATAAAATTTTATCAATAAATCATGCTTCAGCTTTCAGTTCGGGTGTGCTAAAATTTAAATTACTCTTTTTATGAACCACAGCCAACTGACGTCACTTATTTTTCTTTTAATTAAAAAAAACCCCGATTTGTTTGTGAAATACTGATGCCCCCGTACGGCAGTTTATGGCTAGAGGGTTGAATTCTCTCAAATACATGCCAAACTCCAGAGGTCAAGGTCAAAAGTGTTGGTACCAAAAGGAAGGTCTTGTTACATGGAAAACACCTATAAAATATGAAAACCCTACTACTAACTATTTTAAAAGTTATGACAAAAGTTAAAGTTTTTAAAACATGGGTCAAACTCTCAGATCAAGGTCAAGATATTTATACCAGCTGAAAGGTCTTGTCTCAATGAATATACATGTGAAGGATGAAAGCCCTATCTCCAAGTGTTCAAAAGTTATGGCTAAATTTAAAGTGTGGTATTTTTATTTTGTTAAAGTAGGCCAAAGTCCAAGGTGAAGGTCAAAAGGTCAAATTTGGAGTTACCAAAAGAAAGGTCTTGTCACAAGAAATACACCTGTGAAATATGAAGCCACCCACTCAATAGTTATGGACAAGGCAGAGAGACAATCAGACAGACAGGCAGGACAAAACAGTATACCCCGAGATCTTTCGATCCGTGGGCATAAAAAACATTCCTTCTTAATAATTCACGTGTATTATTAGAGTATTTTTTATCAAAAGAAAAATAAGTAATGCCAGGTGCCTGTGCTTTGAACATTTAATCATGATTTAATTTCTCCATTTTCTTTTCATACAGACAATTAGTGCATGACTGAGGTCCAACAAATACACTTTAAAAAATATTTTGTATACCTATCTGTCTATCAACAAAAGAATTTCAAACCAGTCGTCTTCAATTACTTTCCTTCTTTGTATATCTAACTATTATACGCAGATTTGCCGAGGTAGCATTTTGCAACAAGATTCATCTTTGAACAAGATGACCCTTTCAAGGAACAGTACAGAAAACAAGGTATTTATTATAACGATTTATAAGCATGATGTACAGTACTGTCAGTTTAGAAAATGTAGCCTTTATATAACACTTTTGACGAGCTTATTTTCAGCACCGAGTAAGAGAAAACATGAATATTTTATATAAAAAAAAATCGTTCGTTTTAAAATACAGTCTGTCTGGAGACCTCTCGGGAAACTTGTTTGTACAGTTCATTTTTGAGATCAAATTAAATGCATCTTATATAACATATAGAGTACTTTTTAACGAGTGTATTTTCAGATATCATACAAGGGGGCTTGTCCCTAGAGTTTGATATCTAAGATACACTCGTTAAAAGGTAATACAAAAATGTGGTGTACGCTACACAAAGCTATTTAAAGATTTATATTTAAAAATACGGTATTTTTTTTGTACTGTAATGAATCAATATGTGTTCTTTTGAATTGACCGATTTCTTTGCAAAGTTTTGAAACACTTTAAATCACCGTCCTGCGCTATAATATATGTTAACGTGTTTATTGCGCAGAGTTCTGACAGCCCTGCGGAGGTACAGTGTATTGAGCAATTCCTTCAGTAGCTTATTGTTTACTTTGTCAAAAGAGTAATTCAATTGATCTTACTATATTATCAGAACAAAGTACTGTGGGACATGAGATATAGATAGGATCTTGTCAGATTACACAGTTTTAAACCAGGTAAGTAAAATGATCTCAAGGTTAGAGATATTAATATTTTTAATTTCATTCAAATGCTATCAAATGTTAAACAGACGTGTATCACTGTGTAAAATTTGAAGATATATAATATATCTATGTAGAACCACACCGAATACTGTTACTTTTGGTTTTTAATTTTCTGAATAAATAATTGTATATATTATGTCGATACAAATTTTAACGGGGAAATGCAAAACATTTTAGAAGAAAATCAATGATTAATGCAGTAGGTCTATGCATGCACTGTTGCAACCACTATTGAAATAACGACCACTATTGAAATAATTATATCAATAGTGGTTAAGAGTGCATTTCAATAACAAACATCGTTAGTAACCTCTATTGAAATAACGACCACTATTGAAATAATTATATCAACACTGGTTGAGAATGCATTTCAGTAGCAAACATAGTTAGTAACAACTATTGAAATACAACCACTATTGAAATAATTATATCAATAGTGGTTGAAAGTGCATTTCAATAGCAAACATAGCTAGTAACCACTATTGAAATACGACCACTATTGAAATAATTATATCAACAGTGGTTGAGAGTGCATTTCAATAACAAACATAGCTAGTAACCACTACTGAAATACAACCACTATTGAAAGCATTATATCAGTAGTGGTTGTGAGAGTATTTTAACAACAAACATAGGTGATAACCACTATTGAAATACGACCACTATTGAAATAATTATTTCAATAGAGGGTGAGATTCAATTCAATAACAAACATAGGTTGCAACCACAATTGAAAGAATATTCACTTTTGAATAAAGATTTCAATATGGATTAAATTATGGTTTTAGTATTGAAGTATTATCAGCAACTTTGATAATTAAAATTATTTTTAAAATAATCACTTTTGAAATTAATATTTCACTAACTATCTAAATCTTCATATAAGGTCAGATGATACAAACAAAATATGGATGCCTGGATTGATATATAGTTTTCAGTCTGATTTCATTGAAAATGATGCAGATGATAAATTTCTAGAATATGAAGAAATTGTAAACCTCCTGTGATGTTCAACATTTTCCCTAAATAAAACCATCCTTATTAATTTTTGCACTTTAATTATTAAACTATATATTTTTCACTCCAAATCAAATTTTTGTGAAATTTTGGATAAAAAATTAAAAATTACGAAGTAAAACTCTCAATACTGGTCGTATTTCAATAGTGGTTGAAACCTATGGTAATCATATTGAAATGCACTCTTCCCCACTATTAAATAATTATTTCAATAGTGTTAGTATTTCAATAGTGATTGAAACCTATGGTTATTATATTGAAATGCACTCTCACCTAGCTGCAGATCTGTAGCTCTCCGAAAAAAAATATTGATAGACCGGAGAGCTACAGTACCACCCATTGAAAAAACTGTATATTTATTGCGCACAAAAAAAGTGCGCTCGATTCTTGATTAATTTTTCCAAATTCTTACCTCAATTGCAAAAAATGGAAGATTTCAAAAAATTACTCTCTCCTCTATCAAGTTCTCTCGTAGTTGACATCTGAACGAAGCATACTGGACCGAAATATCTTTGAAACCAAAATGGCAGTATAAATAAGCGAAATGTCCGATGATTGCAATATCATGGCCAGGAGGACTATTAACAACAATTTTAAGGAATGTTTTGTTGTGGAAAGAGTCAAAGAATATGTTAGGAACACACGGTTAGATATATTCTGAGATTATAGCTTTAAAAACATGGAGAAATAAACCGTGAACCGAGCGCATTTTTTGTGCGCAATAAATATACAGTTTTTTCAATGGGTGGCTCTGTAGCTCTCCGGTCTATCAATGTATATTTTTTCGAAGAGCTACAGATCTGCAGCTAACTCTCACCCACCGTTGATATAATTATTTTAATAGTGGTCGTATTTCAATAGTGGGTATTACCTATGTTTGTTATTGAAATGCACTCTCACCCACTATTGAAATAATTATTTCAATAGTGGTCAAATTTCAATAGTGGTTACTAACTATGTTTGCTATTGAAATGCACTGTCAACCACTACTGATATAATTATTTCAATAGTGGTCGTATTTCAATAGTGGTTGCAACAAAGCATTAGGTCCATAAAGGCTATTAAGAATTTTGTGTCTTTGTATTACTAAATAACATATAGTTCCTACGAACAGAGTACAAAGTGTTAAAATTTCCATAAATAACGATGTTAAATGCTCAATTACATTAAAATTAACAAATACATACTTGCTAAATTATTCTCAATCATCCAAATAGATTTTTTCAACATATAAGTGATAATCAGAAGTTTATATTAAAACCGGATCCGTAAAAGTATGGGCCTTCCTTAATTGTGAAAATATAACTTAATCAGCAATTCACTTTATTTAAACTGCCTAAAAAACTTTGGGTCTCATTGAGAAGTGCGATGTATTCAATGACTTATTTGTCTGATGTAACAACTAAAAAATAATCTTGATGGTTTGTGTAAGCCACCTTTATTAGGAGGATTTTATTAGAAAGAGTAACCCAGAGAGAGACTCAGGCGGAAATATTTTTTTGGAATTCAAAATAATACACATGGATATACTTGATCGAGGAAAACAATGGAAACAGGTGGCAACAGGTGAAGTAAAGTTACATTGCATCTAATTTATTGCCTCTTATATGTCAAAAAGTAATATTTTATTTTGTTATGAAATACATTTTTATTGTGAAAATATAACTTGATCAGCTTTTTACTTCAAGTGAATTGCCCCCAAAATTTCACGTCTTATTAACGTTGTGTTTAAATGACTTTTTTGTCGGATTGAAACATATGGAGATAACGAACATTATTCAAGATCAAAAGTCCAATAAACAATACAAAATAGGAGCAGAGCAAACACTGACCTCCAAAATATCAGAGGTGGGATCAGGTGCCATGGAGAAATGAGCTTCCCTTACCGACCGGTTTGTCAGGATCGGAAAACAATAAAAAAAAATCCGTGGTAAATTCAGTGAATAAATAGTGGACAATTGATATGAAAAGCGCCAGTCAGCATTAGACTCAATGATGAATTGTATTTGCTGACAAGGTTATTGTATCTACCTTACTTCCGAAATGGTGACTTTAAAGGTACTTGGACACACATTTGAAGTTAATATTTTCTGTTTTTTTTCTCTATAATATTACGAAGTATATATTTTAATAGCATTTCACACAAAAACTTTTTAAAAATCTTATTTCATTTAAAAGTTATTAAAACTTTAATTTTTTTGGCGGGTTTGATTGACACATCCTTACACTTTCACAAATTTTAATTTTACTCTTAATACTTACGAAAAGTGGCAATCTTGTTGTGTATGAATGCAAAATATTGATACTATAATTCAGAAAATTCAGAGTAGACATGTTCGAAAGCAAAACAAACTCACAATATATTCTCAGTCCGTGCAGTTGTGGTAAGCAGACTGTGACGATTCAGAACGCACCCGGTGAAATCTAAACATAAATAAAAACAGAGCTCGTGCCTTGTTTACAAAAACTGTGTACATAACACGAGTGTGATCGATTTGCACAAACGACTTAGCTCGGAATGACGATACTTGTGAAGGTGTTTTGTTTTCTAACATTTCTATTCTGAATAAAAATATTTTTCTGGATTAAAGTTTTAATATTTCTCATTAATACACAAGATTGCCATTTTTCTGAAGGAATAAGAATAAAGTTAAACATGTGAAAGTGCCAGGATGAGTCAATCAAACCCGCCAAAAAATTTGAAGTTTTAATAACTTTTAAATGAAATAAGATTTTAAATTAATTTTTGTGTGAAATGCTATTAGAATATATAATTCGTGATATTATGGAGAAAATATTAACTTCAAATCTGTGTCCAAGTACCTTTAAACAAGACTTTAAACAAGATTGCTGATATTCTTGTTTTATCAACTTGTTTGTCAATAATTTACCTCGTTTTAGAAATTGTGTATACATTGAGCATACCTTGAGCATGCTCTTGCGTATCGAATCAACTACTAGTATGAAAAAATATAAATCTCCATGATATTTTAAGCCATCTTTATTACATGTTCAAAGTAGATGCCGTTGCTAAAAGGATTTTATCAGAAAGAATAACCCATGCGGACATTTTTGGAATTCAAAATAATAGTTTGTATATATTCAGAAAATGTAAAGATATCAAATGATAAACCTAATTCATTTATTATTTCTAAAATTTCCTCTTCTTCCGACTTTACTTCATAACTTTCTATGAAAAAGAACGATAAAAGATTGTGTTTGTTAGCTTGTTCTTCAATGTTCCTCTCAAGAATTTTTCAATACTATGATGACGCCATCACTTGCATGTGGATAGCTGCAAATTTAGGCATGAGCTCAAAAAATCAGGTCCATTGAGCACTGAGGGATCTTTGTGTGCCATCATCTACTGCGACATGGTCTCATCTGAAGGGCAAGTCCCGCAGTGGAATTTTAACCCGCGACGTAAGGATCAACTCCACGACTCTAGAGCAGACGCTCGAACCACTGTGTCAACAAGGCAACCCAGTATTATGTCTTACACTAACAGAATAAATTTTGGATTATTTATTTTTCATTTAATTTCAGATCTGTTGTCGGAATGTAGACAAAGTAGTTTCTGTAAATCTTTAAGGTCTGTAAGATGTAAAGAAAAAGGAAAGATGTAAATTATAGGTTTAAACCTAGAACTGTCAAAATGGACATAATACTTCCCGCCGGGTTTTTCAGAGGTGCCAGATCATGAATATTTTATGGATCTAAGAGAAGAGAGAAATGCTAAAACAGTCTAAACAAGACTAAAGATACAGACTAGACACAAATTGTGAATTTTTTCTGCCAGTGACCTTGAACTTGCATTAATTATTTTGGTTCAAAGTCATGACACAGCCTCAGGTCATAAGCAATCCTTGTGTAAAATGGGAACTCCTTACGTATATCCATCAGACAGAGATAGACCAGACAGGAATTATGATTTTTTTTTCTATGTCCTTGAATTTGCACAAATGACCTTCGGTCAAAGTCATGACACACCCTCAGAATGGAAATTCCTCCTTTTTTTTTAGCTCACCTGAGCTGAAAGCTCAAGTGAGCTTTTCTGATCACATTTTGTCCGTCGTTCGTCTGTCCGTCTGTAAACTTTTCACATTTTCGACTTCTTCTCAAGAACCGCTGGGCCAATTTCAACCAAACTTGCCACAAAGCATCCTTGGGTAAAGGGGATTCAAGTTTGTTCAAATGAAGGGCCACGCCCTCATTCAAGGGGAG